ATGTGTCCGTTCTCTTGATAGTGTCTTTCACAAAGCAGTTGTACCACTTTATACTCATACCATATATGAAATGCTTGAAAAGCTGTATCTCAGTGTAACTTTGATTTGTATTTTTCTTACTATGAGCGAGGTTGAGTATATCTCCTGTTTATATATTTCAGTCCTTTGTGTTTCTTTTTCTTTCTACATCCTCTGCCCACTTTTCTATTGGACTGTTGGTATTTTTCTTGTGAAGTGTAGTAGCTTTTTACATATTATGAAGATTATCCATTTATCGGATATGAATTTCAGTTGAGTGTATATATGTACAGACTATTTTCACAGAGTCGGTACTCTGCCCCAGTGGTGTTCAAACGTAAGATCCCTTGATAAGAATTTTATATCAGATATTCTTGTATCAAATCTGTGGACCGTATGACTTTTAAAGTATATTTCCATTCTCAGATTTTATACTTTATTGATTAATAGCCTAGAAAGCCTAGGTCAAGCTAACTGTGCCTTCTCCATATAAAGCAGTTTGCTTGAAACAGTCTACCCAGAATCTCCTCAGAAGACAAAGCCGGAGCGCTTGTAAGCATGTATTTGTCGGGTATCCAGTGGCCTGCACCTTTGTACCCTTCGCCCTAGAAAGCAGGAAGCAGCTGTGGCCTCTCACCTTTGAGTATCTTTGGCCAGCAGCCTGGTACTTTGGGAGTTTATCCGGCTTGCTTTTCAGAGGTATTTCGACCCTTTTATGAAGAAAGCAAAGTCATGAAAGGAAACCGAGAACATTAAAGATTCATGCCTCTTGTGTGATTTCGCTGTGAGACACAAAGCCAGTTTCTGCTCAGCACTTCCTGTAAAATGAGCTGAAAACTGCAAGGAAACATGTTTAAAGATAATGTGTTTGTATCACAGTTTTGTTGAATCACTTGTGCCGCACATCTTCCAGGCAGCTTGAAAACATTTTGCACAGGAGAAAGATGACAGCGTGCGACATTTATTTCCTGGAGGCGGAAGAAGAGGCCTGGGCTTCTGCAGTTCCCAGATGAGCCAGCGTGTACTCACATAGCTGCCGACTGTGGGCATCAGCGGGGCCTCACCGGGGTTCTGGAGCCAGCGTGTACTCACAGAGCTGCCGACTGTGGGCATCAGCGGGGCCTCACCGGGGTTCTGGAGCCAGCGTGCACTCACAGAGCTGCCGACTGTGGGCATCAGCGGGGCCTCACCGGGGTTCTGGAGCCAGCGTGCACTCACATAGCTGCCGACTGTGGGCATCAGCGGGGCCTCACCGGGGTTCTGGATGTATCGAGAAGCAGTGTGGGGCCAAATGAAGCAAACGCCAGTGTGACGTCAGCAGTTGCTGAAGGGTTTTTGTTCAAGTTTTTTTTGTTTGTTTGTTTTTCAAGTTTAAGAGCGAGACTTTCCTAACTTAGAATGATTAAACACAGAACTTTTCTGAAAGGAATGAAATAAGGTTAGGTCATATTGAATAGTTTGGAACTTCAATTTTCCTCATTTTTTTCTTTTTTTTAAGAAAAGTTTTCCTTCTCTCAACTCTCCTGATTAGCTCTTTGATCCTCGTAACTCTGCCCCTCATTCCCCTCCTCCACCTTTAAATTCCGTGCCCTCCTGTCTCTGAGAGGGTCTCATCAAAGGAATATATTCTTCACTTCCTTTCTGTTTTCTCTCCTCGAGGGTAGATCCTTTGTGTTTATGGACCACTCGATATTATTGAAGAAGGATGAGTATGGGATCTAAAAAGATGCCAGATGCATAAAAGTACACAGCTGTAACCACAAGCCCTGATTGGGAGGCGGCATTAGGAAAGGCCAAGAGTGACCTCAGTGGCTCTAAGCATTTCTCATGGCTGACCTGGAGCCTGATGTAGCCGTAGATAGAAACGCGTGCTTTGGGAACGCACGGCCAAGCCAGACCATCAGGAGTTCTGCAAGGCAAATAGTGGTTGGATCCACTATACTTGGCCAGCCATGGAGAACACCACAAGATGCCCCACTTGTTAGGCACCAGGCAGAAACAGTCAGTCTTGTCTGTCAGTCAAAAAAGGAGGGGAGTGTGTGGGAAGGAGTGGGAGAGAGAGAGAGAGATTAAAAAGAAGCAGTATTTTTTTCTTTAATTGAAGTTTCAAGACCTCCAGTTTGAATTCGCAATAATGATGGGCTGGAGATGGCATTGAAAATGAAGCTTAAGCATATGCAAATAGCAAGTCGATCGCTGCTCTGAGATGATGGTGAAGCATAGGCTCTGGGTTGAGAAATAAGCTTGTGCTGAGAAACCATCTGGGAAAACTCTTCAACTAATTTGAATTGAGCCAAGCTGAGACCTTAAGCATTTCTTCCCAATGAGATCCAAGCTGAACAATGACACGAGCTGATGTTCGGTGGTGGAGATGCCCGTGCATCCTCGCCTCACAGCTGTCAGGGTAAGTCCAGGCTGCTCCTGAAAGCTAGATAATTAACTGCCGTTTGCTTTGAAGTCCAGGGAAAGCTGCTTCCTACTGCGGTGCATTTACAGCTTCCACAACTGCCTCCTCAAATGTTCACTGCCTCGACCGCGTCAGTTCCACTAACTCCTTCAGATGTTCAGGTTTCTCAAAGGTATTCAAATCACTGAAGCTGCCATGTGAGGTGTTTCAAGACAGATGTTTTAAAAAAGTGACTTATTTTTTAATCACTAGATTATTAAATAAGTTTGCCAAAAACATGACTACAAGTCATGAATGTTGGCAGCCTTTTCTTTATTTTTAATTGATGGAGAGCTGTTTTCAAAGGGATCAAGTTTGGCAAGCATGGATATAGGATTGTTAAATCTATAGAACAGTCCAGGCATTCGCATCACACTAAGAAAAGAAGACTAGATTAGTTTATTATTTTTTTAAGAGCTTGATAAAAGGACTAAGTTCACTTCTGTTTACCTTAGAAGTTTCCAAACAGGCCTTGGGAAAAAAATATATTTATAAAAAGGTTCAGAGTAAAGGTTCAGAATGAACCTAAGTTTAGTGCATACGTGCATTGAAGGTAGCAGGTGAAGCACAGCTGAATGAAAACTTTGACTTATTTCTGTTCCGTATATATCTCTCTGTGGCAGTGTGACAGGTGGAGCTCTATAAAGGACTTTGGTTTCTAGCTATTAATCATTCAAACCAAAGTGAATGTAATTTTCCTCGGAGATGGTTATGAAGGGAAGGGAATTAACATGATATTTTAAAAGATAATGTTTCACAGCACAATTCTGTAATGGATTACTAAGACTTTTAGTGAAATTACATTAGTTGATTTGCTATACGTGACATTGTAGTAAGAAAAACATCCGAGTTTTCATGCTGAGATTACTTGGTAGGGTAACCAAAGGGTAATTGCCAGTTTGGGTTTATCTTTGCAGTAAAAATCAGCTGTGGACTGCATTGAAACAGAAATCCAGGACTTAACCTGTCCAATGGAAATCATCTGTGCTTAGCAAAGCCTCACAGTTATTTTTCTTTCAAATTTACATTGTTTTGCCTTTAGGGAGTTAATGGAAATTCATTGTGAGTGTTTTTGTGGGTAAAGTTAAAATTGTTTCATTAAATGTTAATGGACTTAATAGTCCAGTTATAAAGACCCAGTATATTAGCCTGTATTCAGCACTAAATGCTGACATGGCTTATGTTCCAGAATTGCATTTGGGCCCATAGAGCTGAACATCAGATGTGAGCATAGGTTAGGAATGGGTTTTGTTCTTCTGCCATAAGGCAATAACCATTCTGTTTACAAATGACTCTGATTTTTAACAAAGCAGCTATTTTAGGTGCAATTCATTGGTTTATTTTGGCCCAAAGAAAGATTCGGACATCTACTTGTACATTAGGAACACAGCACTGCTCACTGGGCTTGACAAGCAAATAGAACGTGAGTTACATAAAATCCCATAATATGCCTCTAACTTCCTTTGGCACCTTTACTATCAAATAAGCTAACATTACTATGGGAGGGAATCACCAATTTTAAAGTATTTTGCAAATCTGCAAGAGATATCTTGCTGATTGTTTTTTGGGAATGGAAACTTATGCCATAAAAGATATGTCTTGAAAAATGAGTTTGTTCTTGGCTGATGAAGAGAGTTAAAGGGCCATTTCCTCCAGATTAGAGGAGTATAATAATTTTTTTGCAATTTTGAGCAGTTAAGGGTACATTATGTTGAGTATAGGAATGCAGGCTAAGCTTAGCCCACAAGTCCACAAGACTGCCCTTATTCTTGATTCTTCAGGAATCACAGCATCATGTGGCTTTGGATACATCTTTGTCAGCCCTTTTGAAATCAAACAACACTCATTTAAATATAATCTTTGAACACTGGGTAATAGAAATACTGCATGGTTTCACAATTCATGAACCACATGTAGTTTGAACCATATGGACTATATGTAGGCTGAAATGATCATACACCAGGGCCTCCATTTCCTCCTCCTACTTTATAAAATTGTTAGGAATTCAACAAAGAGATTGTAAGATGATATGAAACAAAAGTTTTAAGAATTTTCATTCATTCATTCAACAAGTATATTTGTGCACTGACTGTTTTTGTTTTCCACCCAGAGAGAAATGTAAAATTTGCACAAAAGTCTACAATGTCTTTAGTTGCAGCAGTTCTAAGATTAGAGATAGGAACTTGTCCAAAAGAGTTCAGAATAAACTACATATGCAAAATGATGACAGCGGTAGAAGGGACAGAGAAAGAGCCTGAGACTAACCAATGGGTCCTCAAAGAAACAATTGAATTCCCTCTGCGTTAGTGTCCTCAGCAAATGAGGATTTGATTGGTAACTTGAGAGGTTCCTTCTCACTCAACAATTCTGTGAATCACAACATAAACCACTGTTGAATCACTAATAATAATAATAATACCAGCCCAATATTAGAGACTGACACTTTGAGTCTTCCCAAGGGCATGAAGTTTCCTAAAATTCTCTGATTTTCAGATGCTTTAAATGGACATTTTACCGTTGTTTGATATTCAAGTGCTTTGAAAGCTGCTAGGCACTTGAATGCAAGGCATATTTCTTGAAAGATCACAATTTTTCAGGATGTAAGACAAATCCATGGGTAAGTTTCTAAGCCTAAGTCTCCACTTTGAATTTCTTTCATAGATAAATGGGGGAAGCTGATAGAAGGTACATAAAATATCAAAACTTAGCCAAGCCTAGGACTCCCCTGGTAGTCCAGTGATTAAGACTGTGTATTCCACTGCAGGGGATGTGAGTTCGATCCCTGGTCAGGGAACTTAATATCCTGCATGCCATGAAACATGCCCCCCGCCCAAAGCATTAATCAAGCCTGCATGGTCATTCTTCTATCTCTTGAATTTTATATCATTAAGCTACCTTTAGAAAATCATGATAAAGCTACTGCCTTCATGACCTGAGAATGTTTGGTTCTTCAAGAGCTTTTCTATGGTAACTCAATAATTTTGTTAGTATCAGAAACTTAAAGCCAGTCAATTATAGTCATGAGGGGAAAAAAGTGAGTGTTAGTTGTTCAGCTGTGGTGTTCGGCTCTTTGCGACCCCCTGGACTGCCGCCCACCATGGGATTCTCCAGGTGAGAACACTGGAATGGGCAGCCGTTCCCTTCTCCAGGGGATCTTCCCAACCCGGGGATCGAACCCAGGCCTCCGGCATTGCAGGCAGAGTCTTTCCCAGCTGAGCCACAGGGGCACAAAGGACACATCTAGCGTTTGTTTCTTTCCTTTGTCAAGTGCTTTTCTAAGCCTCTCACATATATTATCCATTTAATCTTTGCAGCAATCCTCAGGTCGGTACTGTTACTACTCCTGTGGCATGGATGCGGAGATTAAGTCACAGAAGGTAGATGACTTGCTTAATGTCACTTCAGTTGTAAATGACAGAGCTGGCACTGGAACCTGCGTGGTCTATGTTTAAGGCTCATGCTTATGTCCACAATAACATAGTGGCCTTCTGACATGACTACCCGTTTGTCATATTCACAGTGACACACGCTTAGTGACCAAGAGTAACCAGGGTTTAACCCGAGCGCTGCTGAGCTGGAGGCAGCTCGGCTCTATCTTTCAGGCACAGGAGGCCACGGTCTAAGACCCATGGTACTTTCAGGGGCCCAAGAAAATGTTTTAGTTTCTTTTAAAATCAGAAGGAAAAACCCAAATATAATTTAGCCCAGATCACATTTGTTTATATCAGCATTGCCATAATCTATATTTTATGTAGTTTAGAATGTGCCCAGGAACACTATAGTTGTGGGCCTGACTGGAGGAGAAGCTGATAGGCGTGGACGAAGCTGCCCTTCCCATCGGGCCTCCTCCTCCTCTCTGCAGGGTGGTACCCAGGCGAGCTGCCATATAGCCCATCTCTGGCTCAACACAGCATCAAACCTCAGGTTTCTCCTGGAAGTGCCCCTCCGCCTGCCCCGGCCCCCGCCTTGGTCACTGGGGGGATGGAACTTTTCTCTTCTCTCCGGCCCTGTGCTGAGGCAAGCCTGGTGCCCTGCTGGCCTGTGGGTGGGTCGGGTCTGGTCTGTACAATGTGTGAACAAGTCAGAATGCAGTAAGCCTTCTACATCAGAATGAGTTCTGCTCCGAGAGTGTGTTCATAACTCCAGCTTGTTTGTAGGTTCTAACAAAGTTAGCCTAGGGACCCAAGTGGTGCAATCGGCTATATGGTACTGGACTGTGATAGGTTTATAATACTTTTCACACAAATAACATGCTTCCTCGGTGGCTCAGCAGAAAGAATCAGCCTGCAATGCAGGAGACACTGGAGATGAAGGTTCGATCCCTGGGTTGGGAAGATCCCCTGGAGGAGGGCATGGCAACCCACTCCAGTACTCTTCCCTGGGAAATCCCATGGACAGAGGAGGCTGGCGGGATATAGTCCATGGGGTCGCAAAAAGCCGCATACAACTAAGGTGGCTGAGCACGGCACAGCACACAAACAATCTATGAAAAACAAGCACAAAAAAACAAGGAAAACGCTTTTAATCCTGCAGCATAGAACCTCGAAAAACTCAGCAGTACCGTACAGCAGCTGGCCATCAGGGGCTGGCACCGAACGAACAGGCAGGAAGAGTTACTGACCGGAGGAGGGAGCGGAGGTGGGAGATGGTAGAGCTGAAGCTGCCTCAGCAATAGGCGAGGGGACAAGCTGCAATTTCATTCGTGCCTGATGCTGATAGAATGCACATTCCCGTTTTTTAAACTTTGCAACTTGAAAGTTCATATATAGGGAATTTATTATAGTTGCCAACATTTTTTTTTAAAAAATGGGAGGTTTCACATAAAAATCTGGATTTCTGTCTCCTCTTGAAAAATCAGAAGGTTTAGTAGCACTGAGCCGGTTTACACAGCTCCATTTGGCTGGAGGTGAGTGGAGCCGTTGCTCTAGCCCCTCCCAGCCCTGCCTGGCCCAGTAAATATGGGAGAATTTCAAATCTTTGTGCTAAGATATAAATGATAGCTTAAAACATTATCTTTCCTCAAAATTCTTGCAGGTTTACTGAGAAGGAAGAAAGCTGTAGTAATTATACAATGATAATGGCTGGATGGCCTCACCGATGCAATGAACATGAACTTGGGCAAACTTAGGGCGATGGTGAGGGACAGGGAGGCCTGGCGTCCTGCAGGCCTGGGGTTGCAAACAGTGGGACATAATTTACTGACTGAACAGCAACAATAGTGAAATTACAGGCTTCAGCCGTTGGGAAGGCGTGAGGAACATCAGGGCTTCAGCATTTCACGTCGGGTGAGGCCTTTGCTCACGTTCACCGTGAGCAAGGTTTGTCCCAAGCATCACATGAATGGTGTAGCCGGGACAGCCTGACTTTGCAGGGATTAAGGTAGGTGGAATGTGAATCAGGAGAGGCCGTGGAAGTTGGCGATTTGCCACCTAATTCCACCTGCCCTGCTGCATTCTGCTAAAACCAGGTGAAATATGAATTGAATACAGAATATATGCATCTCTTCTTTTTAACTGTATTGCGACTATTATTGTTTTAAAAGACAGAACTTCAAGGAAGCTGGCAAGTGCTAACTTCAAAGAACGAACATAAAACACTGTCCTGATGGTTGAGTTCCATTGGGTGACTCTGTGCAAGCCCAACAGATGTCCAAAGGTGAAAAGGAATTTTATTTTAGCTTCTTGTGGAAGCCTTTCTATTTGAGAATGAGGTTTTATAGTTTCTCCATAACAATGAAGGCTTTCTAAACTTTGTCTCTGTTTTTATTGGTGCCCATGGGAGCTTTCTGTGTGGGCAAAATGTTGCTGTGGCCTAGCTTTTGATTTTGGTGCTGAAAATTGAAGAAATGAAACTTCTCATTGTCACTTTTTTTTTTTGCCGCATGGGGCATGTGGGATCTTAGTTTCCTGACCAGCGACTGAACCCATGCCCCTAGCATTGGAAGCATAGAGTCTTAACCATTGGATCACCAGGAGAGTCCCTCATTTTCATTCTCATTTTTATAAAGTCCCTCATCCCTCATTCTCACTTTTATAAAGCTCTTCAGATCTATTAGCTTAACTGCTAGAAGTCCAGGCAGGTGTATGCATTTTTCACATTTGGTTTTGCCATGTTGGTAGTGTTTCCCTCAAGAGTTTATAATTACATATATTTAGTACTTAATATAAATAGATGAGGAATATGATTACTTAGATAGCTAGTTACTGAATATAGGAGGTGAACAAAATAAGATTTTGTGACCATGCTGCTGAGTTTACCATCCTTCCTAGGAAGTGGAAGATGACTGTGCCCTGAAAAACCCCCTCTGCCTGCAGAAAAAAGGAGGGCTTTGAGGACAAAATATAGTTGTTGCATTTCATTTTTCCTACGCAATTCAATGCCTGACACCCCAGAAATCTTTTTTTGTTAATATTCGTTGTCCATATAGTATATAGATTGTGGTTTGCATGTATGTGGGATTCAGACGATGCATGCGATATAGAAGATGTGTTTCCTACCCTCAGTGAATTCAGTCAGTGAGCCAGGACCAAAGAAGGAGGTGATGGGCCTTCTGTACTGTTGTATATTAAGCACTAAATTGGATGCATATACAAAATATATTTAAGAAACTTTGCCAATCTGATACATGAAAAAGTGGATCCAACTACAGTTCTAACTTGGACATGCTTTTACTGACATTTATAAGGTGTCTGGCTGGGGCGTGAGGGATGCAGTGTTTTCTAGAGAAGTAAAGGGTTTCCCAGGGCCAAGCTGTCAGGGGAGGGCCCGTGCCCTTGACCCTATTTGCTTTAATCTATGGACAGCTGGTTCAGAGAGAGGTTCTAACTGTGGCAGGAACCATCCATGTCATCTCCACATCTGAAGGTGCCTGGAAAAGTGACATCCACTTATGCTTGCCTGTGGATGGGTGGGGCAGGGCCTCTGGGGCATCCGTTTAGAGCTGTCTCCCAGGACACTGCCCGGTCCCTGGGACCTCACAAAAAGTCCCTCATCCCTCATTCTCACTTTTATAAAGCTCTTCAGATCTATTAGCTTAACTGCTAGAAGTCCAGGCAGGTGTATGCATTTTTCACATTTGGTTTCGCCATGTTGGTAGTGTTTCCCTCAAGAGTTTATAATTACATATATTTAGTACTTAATATAAATAGATGAGGAATATGATTACTTAGATAGCTAGTTACTGAATATAGGAGGTGAACAAAATAAGATTTTGTGACCATGCTGCTGAGTTTACCATCCTTCCTAGGAAGTGGAAGATGACTGTGCCCTGAAAAACCCCCTCTGCCTGCAGAAAAAAGGAGGGCTTTGAGGACAAAATATAGTTGTTGCATTTCATTTTTCCTACGCAATTCAATGCCTGACACCCCAGAAATCTTTTTTTGTTAATATTCGTTGTCCATATAGTATATAGATTGTGGTTTGCATGTATGTGGGATTCAGACGATGCATGCGATATAGAAGATGTGTTTCCTACCCTCAGTGAATTCAGTCAGTGAGCCAGGACCAAAGAAGGAGGTGATGGGCCTTCTGTACTGTTGTATATTAAGCACTAAATTGGATGCATATACAAAATATATTTAAGAAACTTTGCCAATCTGATACATGAAAAAGTGGATCCAACTACAGTTCTAACTTGGACATGCTTTTACTGACATTTATAAGGTGTCTGGCTGGGGCGTGAGGGATGCAGTGTTTTCTAGAGAAGTAAAGGGTTTCCCAGGGCCAAGCTGTCAGGGGAGGGCCCGTGCCCTTGACCCTATTTGCTTTAATCTATGGACAGCTGGTTCAGAGAGAGGTTCTAACTGTGGCAGGAACCATCCATGTCATCTCCACATCTGAAGGTGCCTGGAAAAGTGACATCCACTTATGCTTGCCTGTGGATGGGTGGGGCAGGGCCTCTGGGGCATCCGTTTAGAGCTGTCTCCCAGGACACTGCCCGGTCCCTGGGACCTCACACTGGGGAGGGAGTTTGTCCTGAGGTTTACAGACAAGTGGACGGTGCCCCAGTTGTTTGAGAGTGGACGCAGTCTGTTTTGGGTTGGGCCATTCAGGGCAGACAAAACTGGGTCTTAGACTGGGTTTCAAAAAGGGTGGAGAGTGAGGACACAGCGTCTGACATGATGGGTGGAGGTCACTGGAGTGGGGAAGTTGGGAACAGAGTTAGAGTGATGGAGTTTCTAGGCAGGGGTGGGAGGAGCAGGCCGAAGAGCTTCTGCTTTATTCTTCAGGTAATGCTAAGCCATTATCATGAAAGAGGGGAGAAGACGTGACAAAAGTAATGCTCTAGGAAGGTTAATCTGGAAGCTTAAAGTGATTAGAGCAATAGAAGCTGCAAGAGGCTGGAAGGCTGCTGAGGAGGCTCTTGGATAATCCGGGC